CTTTATCATTGACACCATTCAGACTGTCATGATTACATATGATGTGTTTCAGGCGTTTGCATACGGGTATGGGGACCTGGACAAACTCGGTCGAATCGGATTGTTCTGGTTCGATCTATGTTTTTGTGATGGGATAAGTGCGATGATCTGTGCTCTCCGATGATTGGAAGTCCTGCTCACTTATTTTCCACAGTTGCTTTCCTGGTCCAAACGTTTTACGCTTACCGGATCCGACTTCTCTCCGATTCAAAGATCCTACTCCCTGGGGCAATATTCATTGTGAGTGGCATCTGCTGTTGAAATGAATGAGTCCCAGCTCACGCGAGGTACCCTCCAGGCCGCGTTCGTTCAAATGACCGGAGCAATCACTGCAGGAGGTCTTGCATTAGGCATAACGTACCTCTCCGAGCTCCGAGACCGTTGTTTCGTAGGAAGCACCGTAAGTTTCTTGCCGCGTCCGAGTCTAGAACCAAAGCAGTAGCCTCAATCGACGTCTCACTTTTTCAGATGTGGTTAGCAGGGAGTGCATTTTGTGACATCCTCATCGCGGTATCTATGGCTTGGGTGGTAAGTAGCCCTCGAGGCTCTACACTATTCACCGCATCTCACCCGTTCGTGCTCAACCCACGTAGCTTTCTCGGGCGAACTCCACCTACAAGGAGACTCAAGATCTGATTCGGCGCATCATCATTTTGACTATGGAGACTGGAACACTGACAGGTAATCACCGCCGAGCTCCACATTCCGTTTGTTTATCGAGCACTCAACGGATCTTTTTTTGGTGTTTTCCTTGATGTGCACAGCTCTAGCAGCCACCGCCGATCTCATCATTTTCCTGGGGTTTCCGCAGCTGGACGTTCACGTCACGTTCACTCTCAGTCTTGCTAAGCTGTACTCCAACTCTCTACTCGTCGCCCTAAATACGCGAGTCAGAATTCCCGGATCTCGAGGATACAAACCAAACTCGGCGTTTGTCTCCAATGGGAGTGGTGATGGGAACTTCAACTCAATCGGTTTGAACAGTATGGGCCGGAGTCGATGGGATGCGAGGACCGGCGAGGGAGCTCGTGGTGGTGAAGACAGGCCCGCGACTATTGTAATCACCCAACAGTCGATAACTTGGGACGACTCGCCCAGTGGTACTGGGGATCATGTGGAGGTATGACGAACCATCTCCCTCGTGTGTTCAAATGACATGATTGACCGACTCTTCTGAGTAGAATACGAAGAAAGGATCCATAGTCGATTTGGCATGATGGATGGATTTGTCTAAGTTTCGGACTGTATTCCTCAGGTTTTAATAGTGTATGAATGTGACCCTGTATCGTATGTAGCCTTCGAACTATCATTATGAGCGAAATAAGATAACGGGGGATCGACTTCAAGAAATACGAAGGAAGGAACCACGACATTCAAGCAGCTCTCGGGCTCAGGCTGCAACAGTCCCTTCAATAATAGCGCCGGTGGCCATACCCATAACCATATCCAGTCCTCCGTGTGGGGCCGTCATGATCTGAAGTATCGAACGTCAGGTCCGCAGTCTGAGTCATTAAAGCGAGTTCGAACTTACAGCTAGACGTGTCCCGCACAGGACTGACGCCTTCCAGCCCAGCTGTACCAGCCAAATTGACGTAACCTTCCTGTGTCCGGCTTGGGGCTGGTCGTGCACTACGCTCAGGCGCAGCTGGATGTGGAGCAATCAACGTTTAGGATGGATAGGCAACTGAGAAGAGAAGAGCTCTTACCATCCCAGGATGCCCGACACCATGCACAGGTGAGTTGAGAATCGGGTTGTTCTCCAAGGTATAAGGTATCTGGGATAGGTTCGTATGGTTAGTGGCAAACTTGGTGCGCGACGTATGCTCATCTCACACCCATCCCAGCACTCGATATGTACCGCATTCCCACATTGCTTGCACCATTCCAAGCAATCAGCGAGAGCCTGTACGGTCGGCTTGCTTGGGTCATGCATAGTTTCGTGGCAGATGGGACAGTTGTCCTCGGGCGTGGGAACTCGTTGTTCTAGGGTGAAGGGATGCATAAGACGGGATAAGAAATTAGTGAAAGCGACTCACTTGACTGACCCGTGGCTTCCTTCCATGCTTCGACGGCTTTTTGGTTCGCCAGGGCTGCCTGTGGCGAAGGTGGCGCATTGTCAAAAACCTCCTCAAGTTCGGAGGTCAATAAGGCCCTGTTGGTAGGGGAATTCAAGATTAGAGCGGAAGTCGGTGGTGACCAGAACATAAACGAGAAGCAGATAAGGCAAGACATGGGTATAAAGATGGGAAACTGAGAGACACCCCATCGGTTTTAAACGACCTGGACGCAGGTGAGGGGATGGAGCCACTGTGCGGGAGTCGTGAACGGCCATTATTAATGTTCGATAAGGCGTCAGCCATGAACAGATGTTCCACGAGTAAAACCGGCTCATCTAAGGTAACAATCACGTACTTCTGGTACCAGTGTCCCAACGATCTATCGACTTGAAGGATTCTCATGAAAACGAAAAGCTGTGCAAGGTGATAGAACGGTGAATTGACTGAATGTGGATGTGGCTCGACGTTACGCACGACATGTTTACAATGGTTTCCTTTGAGGTTGTCGGGGCAGTTGCAGCGAGGAGTATGATCAATGGTGACAGTGTAGACCTGCGATAGAACCTCTTTAAGATCAAGTTTGGACAATGTGGGCGAGGATTTGACCCACGTTCCCCGTCGATCCAGATACTGTAAAAACCTCTCTGAATGCGCCATTTTCGCGTTTTCGATCAAATAAGTATAGTCTGCGCAAAAAATACCGCATTATGAGCGAAAATGAATGAGTGAAACGCGACATTTAGGGTGTCAGAGCCACTCACCTTTGTTGCATCGCTCTTTCCAACCTATCAGAAACCGCGTTTGGGCAAAACCCTCTGAAGCGAGCCTGTCTCTTTTCCTTCGGTGCCTTCGCCTTGCGTTTGACTGGCGGCGCTTGCGGCAGAGAACTACCCATCATGGCACCGTAGGTCAGCGATGCCACTGGTAAAGTCGAATAGTCTGGAACCCCATAGGTGTTACCAAGTGTTGAATTGAGGTAAGGATTGGTTGTATAAATTCCAGAATCGTATGTGTCTTCGAGCGATCGTCCATAGCCGTGATTCATCGTGATTTGTAGCAGTGGTGAGTGATAAAAAGCAACGTTGGAAAATGAGAAAAGCCGCAAGCAAGCCGGCCCGCTGAATTGCCGCCGAACTTGCCGCCTTTGTGCTACACCGGCAGTTTCACGTTCTGAGTTCTTTTCCGTACCACCATCACGCATCTCTCTGCATCGTCGTCTCAAGTGTTTCTCTGTCTTTTTCGATCGATATTGAACGCTATGAAATCAAAGGTGAAATCAAATGGTTTCCGAAAGGTCTTCAAAATCTCGCATATTCACTGAACCAGAAATATTGTGCCGATACTAGGTACGCATACGAAAAATGGCTAGAAGAACTCCTTCGAGAATGACTGAGTCACCGATTCGAAAGTTCCAGAGTTGATCAGGTTCTGATACTCCTGTGAGAAGGAAGCGCCGAGTAAGTGAGTCTCGATTCCCGACACCCGCAACTCAATTGCCAGCTTACCTGTGTAGTCATATGGTACTCCCAAGCTTTCTTATTGGCATACCTGCAAATCAACCAAGATGGTGAGAGATTGTCTGACGAAAACAAACCCTTACGTACTCCTCGATGAGTGTGAACTTGTTACTCTCATCGCCGAATCCACGGGCCACTCGGTAGCTGGAACCAAAGCGTCAGCACATCAAGCATGAGAGGAACGTATCGCAATGAACACTTCACGTCAAAGTCTCAGGCTCCAGCTGTGGATTGGTACTGTGTGCCCGAACGGTAGACACTAATTTCTGTAATTCGTCCGCCTTGCCATCTTTCGCGATGGCTTCGACCGTGATTATGAATTTTCCATCGTAGTCGTCGGGAAGATCGCGACTCTCCAGAGGGACGGCGTGGACGAGTCCGATGCAGGCGAGAAGGGCGAGAGGGATCAACTTCCTCGAGAACATTCCAACCGGAGAAGGAGGGAGGTGATTCTACGGTGCGTTGTGAGCCTCGTGGTAACATACAGTGGGTTTATATAGGTCCCAAATGCTGTTCCTGCAGATGCATGCCTCTATCGGTGATATGCTTGAACGCATTAAGACTAGTGAGTTGTTCGTGGCCTGCGCGGTCATGAAAGCTAAGTACTATGTTGATCCGGTTGAATCTCTCATGTTTTATGACAGGTGAAACGAAGCGCGATTGAAATGACAGTCAGCTGGAGGTCGTACTTGATAGCAACAAATGAGGCGGGAATCCTCATGCCTCATGCGTCCGCCTCTCTGATTCCTTCCCGAGCGGCCCGCGCGCAAAACTAAGGAATGATTCATTTATACCCAATATATTCTTCGTATGTGCAGACGGTCTAGTGGCCGAACGAGTTACTATGGTATGTAGTGGATCAACACTCCCGGCATGTCAGTGCCAAACGACGTCAGCCAGCAATTAGTCAACTGTAAGGTACAGATTGAGCGGTCTCAGAAGGGAGATCCGACACCTTTACTACTTGCATTTAGGTTCGAAGGTTACACAGGAAGAAACTTGAAGTCACCGACTCGGACTCAGTACTCGGGACCCATCGAGTTCCTAACTGGAGGAACCCGACGCGTCGGTGGGCGGAATTTTGCTCTCGACCTTTCAGTAGGCTTGCTACTCCGATCTACACTCGGACTTGGTGTAGCTTCGAGTACAAGGAGTGGCAACGGTCTACAGAGCCTCTCTAATCGCTTTGTGCTCGGATCGTGCCTCCGCTACTCACGGATGAATGCGGACTATCTTCGGCCAGACGGCCTGTCTCTGGAGCTCTGTACTGCTGCCTTGTCAAGGCCGGGAATCTAGAATCTAGGGGGGAAGGGCGGATCAGCACAGTAGCGATGTGGATGGACTGTCATTGCAGCAGTGATATAACATCAAACCTCACAGCTTACAAGCCGGTTTAGCTTAGTGGTAGAGCGTTGCACTTGTATAATCAAGACAGTGTGTTATGATGCAATGCAAAGGTCGGTTGTTCAATCCAGCCAACCGGCATACCTTTTTTTTGCAGCCTCATCGTCCTCGTTCTCAGAGCCATGATGATGCTGAGTGAAAAGTCACGCAAATTTGCAGGCACCACTCGAAAAGAGAGTAAAAGGTATGCATAGTGTAGATCAAAATGACATCCTACTATACCCGGGTATACAAGTACATATATCCTATTATACAACATACGAAAGTCGAGCCTAACATAATGAGAACGTGAATGTGAGGGGATGTCCTGATTTACCACCAGTCACCCTGCTCCTTCATAGCATCGGCAACCTTGATGAAACCAGCCACGTTCGCCCCGCTGAGCAAACTGGGCAGCGTGCCCTCAACGAGCTCTTCACCCGACCACTTGCTTCCAACACTGTAGCAGATCTAGAGCCGGCGAACGAGAGTCAATACCACTTCCTCGCCAATAGATCGAATAGATCACGTACGTTGTAGCACTCCGTCATGATACCCTTCAACTTGGCATCAACCTCCTCGTGCGTCCAGTTGAGCCTCGAGCTGTTCTGCGCCATCTCCAACCCAGAAACAGCGACACCACCACAGTTGGATGCTTTACCCGGTGCGTACCAGAGACCCTTGCCTTTACCCTCCTTCCTCGACTTTTCGAAGGCTTCGACGGCTTCGAGTGTGCATCCCATGTTGGAGCCTTCGGCGACGATTCTCGTACCGGCGGCGATGAGTGCCTCGGCTTCGTCACCGGAGACTTCGTTTTGGGTGGCACCTGGGAGGGCGATGTGGATTTTGGGGAGGAGTTTCCATGGGCGTTGCCCTGGATGAGAGTCGTGTTAGCGTTGTCGAACATGAGGTGGGGGGGAACGGAAGATGAATTAGCGTACCAGCGTGGTAAGAGTACTCCGATTCAGATGCAAAGTCTTTGAAAGACTCGAGGGAACCACCCTTCAACTTGAGGTCGGCGATCTTGAGGACGACTTCCTTCGAGAAACCTTTGTCGGTGGTGGCGATCAGGGAACCTTTGGAGTCGGAGAGGGACACAACGGTAGCGCCGAGCTCGATGACTTTGAGAGCGGTGAACTGGGAGACGTTGCCGGATCCAGAGATAGCAACGAGGGTGGATGGGTTGTTGAGGCTGTATTCGGGGCAGGCTTTTGCGATCATCTATGAGAACGAGAGTTAGCTCGAGGATGAGGGAAGGATGAGATGAAGGACAACGTACGTGCTCAACATAGTAGATGACACCGTAGCCAGTCGCCTCAGGACGGATGTGGCTTCCTCCCCAGTGAAGACCCTTGCCGGTGAGAACACCAGTGAACTCGTTCCTCAGCTTTTTGTAGGCACCGAACAAGAAACCAATCTCCCGTCCACCAGTTCCGATATCACCAGCTTGAAGAAAGACTATCAGAAAGACGATACTAATTTTCATATAGATGTTCACTCACCAGGAACATCGGTATCCTGTCCAATGTGTTTTGACAACTCTGTCATGAACGAAACGCAGAACCGTCTGATCTCCGAGTCCGATTTGCCCTTGGGATCAAAGTCTGATCCGCCCTTTCCACCACCCATGTTCAAACCGGTCAACGCATTCTTGAAAGTTTGCTCGAAACCAAGGAACTTGAGAATAGAGAGGTTAACGGAAGGGTGAAGTCGAAGACCACCCTTGTAGGGGCCGAGAGCGGAGTTGTACTATGAAAATTTTTTTAGTCACACGACTCTATGAACGAATGAACGAATTGAAGAATGCCGACATACCTGAACTCTGAACCCACGGTTAACTTGAGTGCGACCCTGGTCATCTTCCCAAATAACTCGGAATTGGATGACGCGCTCGGGGATCTGAACGATATCGAAAGCCTTTTGGTATTGAGGGTTAGACTTCAAGAACGGCTGAAGACTGGTGGTGAGCTCAGCGAGTGCTTGCTCGAATTCGGGCTCGTGAGGAAGGACCATTGTGTGTTTGTGAAGGGATTTGTTGAGAAGTGTGAAGGTGACTCAGGAGGACGAGGAGCCATCCTGGCTCAAGGTGAGCTCTTATACCCTGCAGAACGAGACAAATTTCATTACCACGGAGTACAGAATTCCCGTAAATCCGCCGCGAAACTAACCTGGAACTGGTGGGTACCATGCTCAGCGGCATGACCGGAGGGCCCCTGCTGACATTCGGCCGATCGGTCCTGTCCCCCGAATTTGATACCGGAGTTTGCCGAAAGTCGCGTCTCGCGACGCGTTTTCCGGTCAAAGCTGGTCAAAGCTGGATATCCGGTCAAGCAAACAAGGATTAACATTTCCTGTATGAAAGAACGATAAGATAGCGCAAGGATAAGATGAAAAGACGCGCAGACATGGTTTCAAAGTTCGGGAACGGATTTCACACCTTATCTTTACAAACTGCGCCACAGAGGACATTCCTTATCTCGTATCTCGACGACGCGCGTTTCTCCGACATTCCTTATCTCCCTCCAAAAACTTCCGACAGAGACACTGATAAGTCGTTATCCATCGATAATCCCTGCCTTGGTACTCAAATTTCGACTGGATTTGGCAGAGAGCCAATGTTTTCGAGCTCCCAAGCCAGCTAGAGTGATTATCACGTCGGGGGAAGGAATAATTTCTGAGTAGGAGGCGTATGGCTTGGAGGACGGTTGGGCCGGGCCGGGGAAGGAAGATAAGGATTTGTTGTGGACACTGGAGTCTGGACTCCGGCCGTTCACCATTTGGAGAGTAGATCAAGCGGCAAGGGTTATCAGAGCTGGAGACAGTGCGGAACGGAAATGAATGGGTGTGGACATCGCGAAGGAAATGGGTAAGGGAATATTGATTGAAGTCGGGAAACGAACCGGGATAGAATGCTGCATTGCGAGGGCCTGACCTGTTGATGATTCTGGGGTCCAGTCTATTCGTGCTCACAAGTCCTGAGGAATCCAGAAGCAGCATAGCGTTCTAGAGGAGTCTATGAGCTTGACTGTTCGTGGTAAGAATCATCCCCACACGACGATGTGGCGAATTGAAATTGGCATTGTCCAATGTTCTATCCTCCATAGAGCTTGAGAGGCCGTCTAAAGTCGGCCGTGAGTGATTCAAACAGCTTCGAGTGTGAATAGCTGGGAGGCAAGCGTTGATAGCATTCTCAGGCAATGCCACGTCGACACGCTAGAAGTCTGTACGGACTCCATGGGTGGATCAGGAGGACGGAACACCTGTTTAACAGAATACAAACTTACCGTTCACCATTCCTCGAACCAACTCCCTATAGCAGATTCACGGACTGGTGCGTCACTCCGAATGACGGCCTCGGTGACAGCGCCGCAGAGCACCGAAAGGTGGCAGCATGAGGTTGAGAAGAGGACAGGACACTAGTGATCAATGGTCCACCATGACCTTTGAAGAGATGAAGAGACAGATAAGGTTTGCGGGCTGTATTTCGAGCTGGGCGAGGAAATCTGGTAGGCCAGACGGTAGAGAAGGTCAAGCAAAGGTCAAGAGAAGGTCAGAGTTCAAACTTAGAATATCGTTATCAACCGCGGGAAACTATCGGCAAACTCCGAAACGCCTCTCCTCGGTCGAAGCTCAATCTTCTATCAAGGTTCAAATGGGCGCATTCGCGTAAATGAGGGCGCCCCGAGGGCTCACGAGATGAGCTGGAGCTTTGCGGCTCTACTGAAGAATCGACAAACCCCGGGGAAATCAACACTTGAGGTGGGCACCTTGACCTCCGTATGAAGCACGGAACTCCATCGTAGTGGTTCTTGACGGGATTCGGTTTGTAGTCGAGAACGTTTCTCAGAGTCTAGTCAGATATCCAATTATTGAAGTTTATATCTACGGGTTTCTCTAATTTTCAAGTAGTATTGTTCCCAGGTGTAAGTACTCGAGTCTCGTTGGGCTTCTCTCTGTAGCAAACAATGTCCGGTGTGAGCTTCACTTTCTTCCTTTCTCCTCGTCCTCTTTCTTATCATCAAATGCTTTTGCCTGTATGTTATACATCTTGTAGTATTCTCCTTGCTTCTCCATCAATTCCGCGTGGGACCCATGTTCGAAGAGTTTTCCGTCCTTCATGCAGCTAGAACAGTGTCAGTCAATCAGGTCAGGCGTCCTCAGAGGAAATAACATACATTATACGGTCCGCGTACTTGGTTATCGGTCCAAAACGATGGGTCACGAATAACATCGTTTTTCCCTCCCTCGCTTCCCGAAGATGATTGAACAGGTCTTCTTCTCCTCGAGGGTCGAGTGCGGAACTGGGTTCGTCCACCGCCACGAATTTGATCTTTTTCGAGTTGAATCGCATGAAAGTGCGAGCTCTATGAACAGGAACATCAGTTCTACGTGTCCTGGACGCGATTCTGACATGATTACGCACGCCACCAGTCGTTGACGCTCGCCGCCTAGGGTTGAAATGCAGTGAGTTTAAGTGCATGCATGGAATTGTATGCCTTACCGGAAACATTACTCGACTTCTCGAGTTTCTTAGCCTCCTTCGCCAACGCGCTATCCTTCTTTGACTCGTCTACCAGAGCATGATACTGCCTCCCCGCGGGGTCCAGAATGGTGTCCAACCCAGAATCCAACTTCTTCAGGATTCCCTCGCACCCTCCCTTCCTCGCCGCCTCCAATATCTTCTCCTTGTCTGAGATGTATTCCGGGCACCCAAGACCTATGTTCTCCGCCAGCGTGAGTGGGAGAAGGTGATGGTCCTGAGTAAGCGTAGCTACGGTCTGTCGAAAGTCGGATTGTTTGAGGCTACGAATGTCGTCTCCGTCGATTAGAATCCCTCCGGAGGAGACATCGTACATTCGCGTGAGGAGGTTGATGAAGGTTGACTTTCCGCTACCGTTCTCGCCGACGACTACAACGAGTTCGCCGGCGTCGATACAGAAGGAAACGTCGTCTAAAGCTTTCTTGTCGTTCGTAGAGTCAGCGTCGGCCGGGTATGAGAATACGACGTTCCTGGGAAGTGTGTTAGTGGTCGCTTGTGAGAAATTGATGTAATAGTATATTACTTCAACTCGATTGCCATGCCCTTGGGACTCTCCCGCTCG